TCTCTCTCTGGTCAAATTAAAATAATAGTAATAACAAATAAAATTAACTAATTTTTTAAAAAAATACTAATAGACACATACATGTATACATATATGAAGGAATGTAAATGCTTGTGTATGCATATATATAAACGCATATGCACCCTCACATACATACCTATATATACACATTCACACAAAGACACACATAAATATGTAAACACAACATACATGCACATATACGCATACACTCACACATATGCACATATTGCACGTACATGTACATTCACACATTCATGTGCACACGCACACGTGTGTACATATATAGATACATTTGCATGCCCATATGCACATGCTCACACACACATCCGTACACACATTTCCCACATATCCAGTTTTAGCCATTTTCCACAGCTCTATAGTCTGGCTTTCTCTCCTCGGGGCCGGCTCTCAGGCTCTTTCTACCTGGGATCAGCTCTGACTTCCTCTGGGCTGGAAGCCACTCAGGACGGGGCCTATGACAGTCCTTTTTGTACCCCAGGCACTTCACATCTGCACAGAGCAGATGTTCCTCCCATGCATGTCTGGCGCAGGAATGAAGGAGTGAAGGAGGGAGGAGTTGGGTGCTGTGGACTTGTGTAAGAGCCCATCTGAAAATCCTCCTTAGAGCACATCTTGGGGATACTGAGGTAGGAGTCACTGGAATTATCCTGATGAGGAAGAGCAAAACACAGGCAATCAGAGAGCCATTAATTTATTCCTTCCATTCAAAAAGAGTCCCAGGACCAGCTGGAGGCATAGTGATTCAAGCGCTGAGCTCCCATGTGGCTGACCACAGTTTGAGTCCTGGCCTCAGCAGCTTGAAACTCACACTGGGTGCATGTGCATGTGTGCCTAAATTCCCAAGAGAATGGAGGAGAAAGGATTGTAGCATGGCCATCCCCACCTGGAGGGTGATTTCTCCCTTTCTGTCTCTCTGTCTCTGTCTCTTTCTGTCTCTCTGGAAAGCCCACACATCCTATAGCAAAAATCTCTTAAAAAAGAAAGAAAGAAAGAAATCCAGGGGTCTGCCTTGGTGCTCATTGTTCCCCGACAGAGGGGAGTCACAGCCTCACCCATGAAAACCACTTGTCCCAGCTGCAGAGATTTCTGCCAGCAATCCGAATGTCCATGAACACCCACCCTGTGCAGGCTGAGGAAGGGCTGCCATAGCCGCTGTGATGGAATGCCCGTTCTGCAGGGAAGGTAAAGTCCTTAGACCCTCAGGAGGCCGAGAGGAAGGAGAGTGTTGCAGACAGAAGGTGAAAGTACCGGGCTGGAGGGAAGGAGAGATGGCAGCTGATGCAGGGAGGTGATTATGCTGCGGATGGCCTTGAAAGCACAGTAGTACTGAACTGGGGAGCCACTGAAGACTCCAGAGGAGGAGAGCAACAGAAGCAAGAAAGTCTTCGGGGCCAACAGAGGAACTTAGACTACTGCATGAGGGGCCAGTAGATACTTGACGTTCTGTTAGTGTTCTTCCTCCTTGTCACTCAATGAACCCTATCAATCTTTCCAAATGCAACTCAGACTTCATAGCTCCTAAGAGGCCTTTGACCCTCCTGAGAGAAGGGAATGTCCCTCTGGAAGCAAGATGCCTCCAGGAGATCTTAGAGTCTTCAGATATCAACGATAGCTCTCCTCTATCTCATCCTCCAGCATTCGTTCTTTGGGTGGGAGGAACCTGTCTTCACTATCTATCCCGGGGCCAGTCACCCTTTGGTGACAGCACGACATTCTTGATAGTGGAAAGGAGCTTTGTCAAAGAGGGAGGAACCCAGCTGCAATGGAAGACTGGCTCACAAAAAGCTTTCACAAAGTCCCACGCCTTGGCCTGGTTCTTTTCACATCATTTCTGGAAGGCGGACCCCCTTTGGGGGCACAAACATTTTGTGCTCTGGGATTCTGGGCAAAGAGATTTACATTCCTTTATTAGATTTTCTTCTTGACAATTCCTCAGTATATTGCTCTATTGTCTTCTGGCACTGGCGTGGTGTCCCCGGGGCTGCCCACCATCTACAAGCCCATGGAAACGAACAGCAGAGCAGAGCCATCTGCCATGTCTCTTGTCTGCAGTTTCAGGGCCGTGGGAAAGCATTACTGGATCCTGGGGATGGGTTCAAGTGCAAAACGGGGACAGCCTGCTTACGAACATTCCGCCATTCACCAAACACATAGGACACCCCTTTTGAGATGACAGGTGCTGGACAGGGTGCTCCAGATACAGAGATAGGCAAGATCAAATCTCTCCCCAGAAGCTCCCAGGCTGGAGGGGAGCAGTAGCAGAGGGATACTGGAAAGCCCGAGGCAGGAAACACCTACCTCTGCTCACGGGAACAAGCAAACTTCCCAAAAAAGGTGAGCTCTGAAATGGAGGTGAGCTCTGGAATGGGGCTCTGAAGGATGAGTAAGAGTTCACAAGTTGGAAAATCAGGGAGAATGGGGAGGGAGAGGAGAGGAATTAAAGGAAGGAAATCAGGGGAAATGAGAGGAATAACATTTCAGAGACAGTCCTGTGAGGATCAGGGTAGACCACAGAAGTGGCACCTGGCACATGCCAACAGTGCTGTACAAATGTCAGTTGTGTTCAGGTTAAAAGCAGTACAGGCTGGCTCCATCGCCTCAGGTTAAGGCAGCCAGATCCAACATGCTCCATCCCGTGGCTGGAGTCTTGGACCTGACTGCTAAGAAACTCCAGGCACGGGAACCAGCGGTTAGTGTAATGGCTATGTCGCTGGACTCCCACGTAGTCGACTGCGGTTCATGTCCTGGACCGGGTGGCTTAAAACCCACGCCGGGCGTGAGTGTGTGCATGCCCAAGATCCCGAGAGGAGAATGGAGGAGAAGGGATTACAACGTGGCCATCCCCTCTGGGGGGTGATTTCTTGCTTTCTGTCTCTCTGTTTCTCTGTGTGTGTCTGGTGAGCGCACGTGCCCTATAGTGAAAAACCTCTCAAAAAAAAAAAAAAAAAAAAAGAAAAGAAGTAAAAACCTCCTCAAAAAAAAAAAAAAAAAAAAGAAAAGAAACTCCAGGAAGGTAAGGATGTGCCCAAAATCCTGAAAGGAGGGAAAATGGAGGAGAAAGGATTGCAGCATGGGAATTCTTCCTATGACCTACACTCATAGGAAGAATAGATCAACAGAAGCACAGTGTGTACTCTATACCTTTGAAAGACTATTTTCTCTATTTTCTATTCTTCCTCTCTCTGTCTCTCTCTGGCAAGTGCATGAGCCTTCTAACAAAACAAACAAGAAAAATAAAGCTGGCTCATGTATGCTTAACAGCCTTTCTTTTTTAAAAAGAATTATTTTATTTAGCTTTATTAATTTATATATTTGTTTCTTTATTTTAATTTGACCAGAGAGAGAGAGAGAAAGAGAGAGAGAAAGTGAGAAAGCAAACTGCCAGGTCTGGGACTCAAACCACAGTCGGCCATGTGGGAGTCCAGAGCCCTTAACCACCACACTGCCTTTCTGCATTCAATAGACATATTTGGAGCGCGTACTCCCTGCTGCCTTTGGGAAAACCCTCTTGGACCTTGCAGTCACCCTACAGGCTCTTTACCTCATCACTGAATCACATGACTCAGTAGTCCTGTGCGCCTCGGGCTTGATCAGTGACCCCAAGAGATGAATACACAAATTACCCTAGGCCACTTGTGTAGGAACACTGCAGGATCAGAACTGGCCACCCCTGCTGCGTGCTACCTATTTGCAGCTCTCTGCTAGACCTTTTGATGTTGTCCAGCTCACTGGATCCCCACAACAGCCCTGTGGGTGGTGCACTATAATTTCCATAGAGTGGAGAAAACTAAGGCTTAGAGCGGAAGTGACTGCCCAGGTCCAGTGCTAGCTCTGGGCTTAGGTCTCATAGGCACCCACATGCTAGGAAAGCAAAACACAGGGCTGCGTGTTCGAGTGTGTGTGTGTGTGTGTGTGTGTGTGTGTGTGTGTGTACGTGAGAGAGAGAGCGAGAGTGAGAAGAGAGAGAGCCCAGTTCATGAGTCAAATTGATCAATTTGTTGTGCCAGCCCTCTTTTCACTGGTGGCACCCAGGCCATTGGCTACTCACCTGTGGAACATTCTTTTCTCAATTGCTATCTGCTCCTTTCCTGCAGAACTGAACAGAAAACGGAAAAGGCTGTTGGAAAAACTTTGGTCCATGCATAGGAGAAACCAGGATTTGCTGGTGCTTCTCACTCCCCAAGCTGCCAAGGCACAATACCCCACCCCCAAACCCCTGGGAAGGCAGAAGGCTTGTAGCCTCCAAAAATTCCAGGCCTTCCCAGGACCTTCACTAGGAGTATTCAAGGCCCAACAAAGGCACAGCATGTACTCTGTTCCCTTTGAAAGGCTATTTTCTTCTGTTCACACACCTGGGAAAAGGAGTAGGATCAGAAAAGTTCAGGGAACAAACCCAGCCTTCCAGGCCTTAAAGTGAGATGATGCAATGACTTCTCTTCAAGTCCCAACACACACACACACACACACACACACACACACACACACACACACACACACACACACCTGCGCTGCATCCTTCCCACTGCACCCTCTGCTCCCCTCCTGGGGAAGCTCCATGCACTGGTTATGTAGATAGAGCTCACAGTTAGGGGGGTAAATCACACCTGGCCTCAAGTGCTAATGATAGACAAGGCCCTTTATGCCCTGTAAGAGGATGCTGTGGAGTTGTAAGCAGGGGCCTCGCTACCTCCTAGTTCTCAGGGACAGAGCGAATGATGCTTCCCTGTCACAGGTGAGCACCATTTGCATGCGGCATGCCCTATGCTCAGGTGACAGTTCAGATCTGTGTGTTTCCCTGTCTGACCCACAACATCTCAATTTTTAGTCTGTGTTGAATGTCCTGCCTAATTAGGAGGCTCCCTGCTCCCTGCTAGACTGGCCTTTTGGACAGAGTTTGTAATTAGAGTGTTGGACTGGTGCTCTATTAATTGCAAGAACTGTGATTCTTAGATTGAACTAATTGCTAGTATCTGTATGCAATGTTCCTCTAAGAATTTTATATTACAGTAAACAAACCCCCGTGTGAATTCAGAGATGTGACCATAGACTTTATAAATACATAATTACATTTATAGAAAGCACAGCCCTCTAGGCTCTCTTCTCTAACACCCTCTCAACATACTTTTCAGAAGTAAGCCAGCTTCCATGATGGATACGCTACAAAGATTCTTTTTTGACTCTTTCCTGAAAATAGCCTACACCGTTAAACTTACCACAGGAGAAGGACCATGACCCATCCATAAATAGATATTATCAGTATAAGCCATTGGAGAAAGTGTTTTGGTAATATGAGACAAGAACCTTAAAAGTGGCCAAATTTGGTTTTTCATAAAATGTATCTTCATACAGTGGTACACTGTAGCATTTTATAGATAGATAGATATAGATATATAGTATAGATATAGTTGGGAAAGTCATGACACATTTTTACATAGAAAAACATAGAAACAGGGCCCACAGGCGACGTGGTGGTTAAGGGTACTGGACTCCCACATGGTTGACCACGGTTCAAATCCTGGACCTGGCGGTTTACTTTGTCTCTCTCTCTCTCTCTCTCTCTCTCTCTCTCTCTCTCTCTCCTTCGCTCTGTCCCTCTCTGCTCAAATTAAAATAAGTAAATAAATAAATAAAGTTAAATAAAATAATTCTTTAAAAAAAAAAAAGCAGAAACATACATCATGACTTTCCTGATGACCAATATATAGCCCTCAATTAAATTATTAGAAAGATGTTCATAATATTTTCAGGGAAGTAAGTTAGAGGTGAACAGGTATAGCCATCACTGGTGTAAGTGTATGTGTGTTTATAAGCACATAGTAAAGATCTAAAGGAATGCTGACAGTAGTTACCTGTGGTGGATTTTCCTAGTAGTTTTCATTTCATTATTATTATTATTATTATTATTATTATTATTATTATTATTTTGGTAATCTGAGTAATTTCCAGCAAGTAAGCATTTTTTCATAATCAGGGGGAACATAAAGCCATTTCCGGGGCCAAAACAGGAGTCAGCAGGTAGCATGGTGGTTAAGACACTGGATTCTCATATGACCAAGGGCAGTTCAAATCCTAGAGCCAGTGGCCTGAAAATCGCTCCGGACATATGTGTGTGCATGCCCAAAATCCCTAGAGGAGAATGGAAGAGAGGGAATTGCAGTGTGACCATCCTTCCAGAAAGGTATTCTCACTCACCCTCTGTTTCCCTCCATGCCGCAATCCTCCGGCCTCCATAGGTTTTTGTCATAGGGCAATTGCCACCATGCCCCCTCTCCCTATTTCTCTCTCCCCAGCAAGTGCTCATGCCTTATGGGGGGGAAGGGAACTAAAATATGTGCCTTTGACCTAGTGGTTTTACTTGGAATCCATACTAAGAAAATAAACTGAGGGGCCAGCAGGTGGCATGGTGGTTAAGGGTGCTGGACTCTCACATGGCTGGCCGCGGTTTGAGTGTGGGAGCTGGTGGCTTGCTTCCTCACTTTTCCTCTCCTCTCTCTCTCACTTTCTTTCACTGTCCCTCTCTGGTCAAATTAAAATAAATAAAGTTAAATAAAATAATTCTTTAAAGAAAAAAGAAAATAAACTGAAACACTAAAATTAAATAAAATAATTCTTTTTTTAAAAAAAGAGGGAACTGGCAGGTGGAGTGGTAGTTAAGACAGCTGGACTCGCACATGGCTGACCATAGTTCAAGTCCTGGACCTGGTAGCTTGCTTTCTCACTTCTCTTCTCTCTCTCTGTCTCTATGTGGTCAACTTCAATAAAATAAAAAATAAAATAATGACAATGAATAAAACTAAATTTAAAAATTCTTTAAAAAATAAGATAAACTGAAATATAAACAAAAAAAAATTTTGGAGAGGTTTTTTAGGGTGCGTGCACTCACCAGAAAGACAGAGAGAGACATAGAGACAAAAAGGCAAGAAATTACACCCCAGGGCGGATGGCCACACTGCAATCCCTTCTCCTTCATTCACCTCTCAGGATCTTGGGCACGCACGCACACATGCCTGACATGAGTTTAAGCCACTGGATCCGGGACTCAAACTGCAGTTGACTACATGGGAGTCCAGTGACATAGCCATTGCACCAGCTGCTGGTCCCATTACAAACAACATTTAATGGCACAAAATACTAAGGCATCAGGAAAGTCATGATGTATTTTTCTATATTTTTCTATGGCAAAAATATGCCATGACTTTCCCAACAACCCAATATTTACAGCAGTAGTAAAAAATATGCCATGACTTTCCCAACAACCCAATCCTTAAAGCAGGAGTAATAATAAAATAATTAGTAATCTCAATGGCAACCAAAGGGATGATTTATGGCAGTCATATGATGGAATAGTATAGGCCATTTTGCAAGTTTTTGAAGAATTTGTATTAACACAAAAAAATGCTTTTGTCATAATATTAAGTGAAAAGCAAAACAAAAATAACCAAATAATCAAATTCTCTTAAGAATGGACACCCATGTAGAAAAATTTATCATCAACTTGATGAAGCAAAATAAACCCCTAGATGAGCTGACAGCAGAGCCCCTTCAGGTCTCAAATTTTTTTCATAATGATCACAGCAAACTTTGCCAGAGCCTGAAGCTCCAGCAATGTCTTTAATGGGCTCGTGACTGGTTGTTCCATTATAGGTAAAGCCAGGGGTGACTGTGTTTGTGCGGTAGACAGGCTTTTCTTCAAGCATGTGAACAATGCAGTTGTTAGTGAATAATACAAAATACTTCTTCTGTGCACTTGGGCAGCACTCCAAAACCCAATCACCTCCTCTGTCAAAACAGAAACATCACTCTGTATTCTTTGCTGTTGAATGAAGTCTAGCTTCTGAAAAATGGACAGTTGCCCCAATTGCAAGAGATTCTTCCACTCAGTTGCATTGCCTTCTGCAGTCTGAGACACCAAGCACATTCTCTGAGGGTAGTCAGATGGGTGTGCACACATTTCTTTGATATTCTGTTTGGAATTATTTTAGATATAATCTGAAATAGGATCCTGGATCATAAAGTAACTCTAATTTTAATTTTTTTTTTTTAGTTTTTTTTTTATAGGGCGTGTGAGCTCAGCATAGAGAGACAGAGACAGAGAGAGAGAGGGAAAGTGAGAAACCACTTCTAGGGGAATGGCCACATCACAATTCCTTCTCTTCCATTCTCCACTCAGGATTTTCGGCATACATGCACATGTATCCTACATGATTTTCAAGCTGTCAGGTCCAGGACTCAAACTATGATCGGCTACATGGGAGTCCAGTGCCCTAACCACCACGACACTTGCGGACCTCTTATTTTTAATATTCTGAGAAACATCCACATTGTTTTCTATAGCAGTTGCACCATTTTACACTCCCATCAACAGTGCACAAGGGTTCCAACTTCTGTGCATCTTTGCCACTACCTGTTTTCTGTTCTTTTGGTATGCATCATCCTATAGACATAAGATGACAGCTCTTTGCAGTTTTCACTTGCATTTCTCTAACAATTAGTAATGTTAAGCATCTCTTCATATGCTTGCTGGTCAGCTCCAAGCCTTCTTTTTTTTTGAAGAATTATTTTATTTAACTTTATTTATTTACTTATTTATTTTTTAATTTTACCAGAGAGAGACAGAAAGAGAGAGGGAGAGAACATAAGAAAGCAAGCCGTCAGGTCCAGGACTTGAACTGCAGTTGGCTATGTGGGAGTCCAGTGCCCTTAACCACCACGCCACATGCCAGCCCCAGTTTTTTGTTTTTTGTTTTGGTTTGGTTTGGTTTGGTTTCTTTTAGCAAGGTTTTTGCTATAGGAAGCGTGCACTGACTGGAAAGACAGAAAGGAGAAGTCACCGCCCCTGCGGGGGATGGCCATGCTGCAATCCCTTCCCCTCCAGTCTCCTCTTGGGATTATGGGCACGCATGCACACACACGCACCCACTGTGAGTTTCAACTATGTGGGAGTCCAGCAACGTAACCATTACGCCATCTGTTGGTCCCTGGCTCTCAGTTCTGAAGCTTTTAAAAAATTATTTATTTGGGACTAGCAGGTGGCATGATAGTTACTCACTGGACTCCCACATAGTTGACCGCAGTTCAAGTCCTGGACCCAGCAGC